ACTCCCCGCCCCCGGCCCGATTCCAAGGAACACCACGAACACCAGAGCGACGTTTCCTCTACATCGCCGCGGCTGGTTACTTTATAACACAAGCATCGACCTGAAGACAGCCCTGCAACAGTGTGACTATTAACAAAAAAAACCTCTACATACACGAAACACCTGGACTACTGACAAGAGTAAATGCTCAACAGATCCGACGCAACACATCCAAGAACAACGTAAAACCACAATTTCATCCCGTTTTTTCCAAAGTAAGAGAAAAAAATACCCAACCCCAAGCATAATGTTGAGTGCTTTTCTTTAACGTAGCAGCAAAGTTGGTCACTTGGCTTGCAGCCATCATTCATTTTGTCCTATCATTGACAATCACAAAGAAGGACATTTGAGTACTCCATTAGAAAAAAAAGTAGTGAATTACGGGTTGTTTTTTTTTCTTTCTATTTTTATCTCAATTCTGAGACCGATATAAACTCTGAACTCCTTGTCAGCCTGGCTCTATGAGATATAGCCAGCAGGCACAACGGAATAGCTCTTCTGCTCTGAGGCGTATCCTGCTTTTGCTCAGAAAGCCCCATCAGTGCGTAACCAGTCAGCCCCAACATGGAAACGTGGAACGGCATTCTCACGCTGCACACAGCAGGAGTAGGGCCCACGTCCCCTCTGCCTGCATCGTGACGCCGAGATGTGATCAGCATGTAAACAGTCTTTACCAGCACAGTCAATCAAGAGTCTAGAATCCCCAAAAACCCTTTACCTTAAAAACATCGGCTTTTTGTTTCCTCTGAAAACCCACACCCTGCGTTTTCAACACCCTCCCGGCCTCCCCCGAGGAGGGTGACAGGTTCTGTGGCCATCTCGAGTAGCTGTATTCTCCTCCGGTTGATGTAAAGCTGGCTTTGGACCAAGGCCTGGCCTCGCAGATACCTCTGCACCACTTCACTGTCAGATTTCACTCTTTATTTGAAGCCTACCCCCTGCTCCTCCCTTTCAGGAAGAGCACACATTCCAACGCTGCATGGGGTAAGCGTGCTGCACGGATGTACCAAGAACTGCTGATGCTTCAGCGCTCTGAATGTCCTTACAAAACAAGAGCAAACAAGTCACGACCAGGAAGCCTCAGACATCAGTAAACATACATCAGAAATTCATATCCAATACTTCAGGTTTGAAGGATACTGCTAACACCACGCTTTTAGCTTTTTTCCCCCTTGGTAATAAGCAGGAGTCCACTGACAGAAGAGCATCTGTGACAGGCACCAAAGATGGAGCCACAGAACTGCACCCCCCGGTGCCCTGAAGAGCTGGAGGGTGACCCTACTCCAAACAAGCCCCTGACACAGCACGTAAAAACCAGGAGGAGGAGCTCTAGCTGGCTCTATGCACCGGAGTTTACGCAAATCTGGGCAAGCCGCTCTCCTAGCCTGTCCCAACGAGGTGCAAAGAGCTAAGAATAACCCAAGAATCAGGCTATAATTAGCAACAAAAAAACATGGGCAAGAGTCACCTGAATTTAGGTAAAACATTCTTGCACATTCCCCTCCTCATTTTGGCTACCAAAAGTGCACTTTCCAAATAAGAAATTACTGTGCAGTGCAGTATTAAATAATTTAAACCAAAACCGAGGAAGCACTTTTCGAAAGTAAAAAAACTTCTTGTTTTATATGGAAATCCGTATGTACCAAGCAACCCGTTCTGCCTAGCAAACCTCCGGCTTCTGCGAGCAGACACTGTGGCTTCCCTTGTGCTTGCTCACAGCTTCAGTTGCTGCTGAAGGTCGTGAATCGAGCCTGCACTGCTTTGCAGTTTCTCTTGCACCAGGGGATCTTCTTCTAGTTTGAGCACTTCAATCACTCCATCGCTTCCCAGAATACATGGCAGGCTTAAGAACACTTCACTGTTTATATTGCAACATCCCTGCAACAACACACAAAGAACAGTCACACAGGTCCTTACTTCTGCTGTCTGAAGCATGAAGTACACAAAACAACTTGATTATTTTAATTAATCAAGGATTTTCCATCACATGGCATGTTTTGTATAGGTAAAATTCCTGTTATTTTAGATCCCGTGCAATGGGTTACTGTACAGAAACTGTAGAATATTACAGATAAAAAAAATCTTGAACCATTCCACACTTGGAGGAGTTTCCAAATATAGACACATCAGGCCTCTATAATGCAGGCAAAGCTTATACTACAAAACACTTGTTTAACCAGTTTCTTAAGCAGAACTAGCAGGGACACTAGACAGTACAGTATCACTAATTCTTTTAGGACTGAACAAAAGAAATTATAAAATACAGCCAAAGAGAGCTATCCAGGGAACATTTTTCAAATATCAATCCCATATTCATTCTGTGAGAGACTTTATCAAACTTATATCCCTATAAATCAAGTTTACACCGTAGATTTTGTTTATTTTTAGGATCTGTATGCGAAAATTTACATTCTGTAGTTACTCTGCAGTTTAAGAGACATGTCACTCCTCCGTATCTGCATTTAGTTTATAAATGATTAGGAACTTCACTTGAAAACATAATGAAATTTGGTGAGTATCTGTACTTGATACAGGAAGCAGCCTGCTCAACCTCCCTGCACTGGGACAAATCACCCTTCTGAAGCCTGTAAATACACGTGGCCAGTACATGTTTCTACATGGTTTTTTTCCTCATATGAAATGACTTAACACTTTAATGAAGCCTCTTAGGATAAACTTTAAACAAGGTTCAGGCTACAATTTTAAGTTAAATACAGCTTTGTAATCTTCTCCTCAATGTAAAGTATAAAGGAGCAAAAAAGCAGCTGTTTTAGAGCTGGTCTAATAAAACACTGGCAGAAAATGCATTTTATACTTTCTTAAAATACACTGAACTTTTTTAGCCTCTGGGAAAGCCTGCATTCAATACTGAGCACTTGGAAACTGCACACACACCTTTCTCTTCATTTGCCAAATCCAGCTCTTCCAAGGGAGCTGGTCAGCAACCCTGAATGTACTTTTTCCCTCTGGACTCTTGTATTTTTGGGAGAACAACCCACTGTTAATATTGGTTTCAGATTAACACAACAATTTATTTTTGCTCATTTTTGGACTAGAACTGAAAGCTGTTGTTGGAAGAAAGTAACAGAAGTAGCGCTACTTCAGAACAGTTACTTTGAGACATCTGTGCTGCTAACATTGATGGTTATGTCCAATATGAATAATATAATTACAGTGCCAACAAAATGATAATAACAACACATTTACCTTTGCCAGAGTGGATACAGAATGGACCTTTCTTTTATTTTTCAGTATACTGTCAGTCAAATCAGCAACTGAGAGCCCAAGAGACCAAGATCTCTGACCTTTTCCCTTTAGAACTTCCATAGCTCTATATAAACCAGGAAAAGGAGAAAAACATAATGTTCAGATTTTAATTATTCCTATTTTGGTTTATATGTAAAACCCAAAAGACAGATTAAGTGCACCATATCAGGTAAAATATACTATAAAAACATGATTCTCTGTTTTGGAAAACAACCCAAGGGAATTAAGAATTGCTTTAAAGAATTTCTTTATGTGTTTTTTACCCACACCAGTAACAATTCTCTTTTCTGTCAAGAGGTGTAACTGATACATGGCTAATTAAACCAGGTAAATTGATCCAAATGTGTACTTTGCTTTGAAGTAAACGGCTTCCACACAAGCTCCGAGAAAAGTGTGCCAGAAGGTTTCTCTACTGGGGTTTTTTTTTAAACACAAAATCAAACTGGCAGCTCTAACATTCTAGTATATATTCTACACAGCTTGTCTTGTCCTTAGATCATCACAGGCACAACTACTAAAACTTCAGAAAAACAGTGGGCATATACACACATATGAAACTGAGTAACACTCAGACCTAGAACTTCCTATAAACACAATGTGTGAACATTTTAGAGCAAACTTCCTCCTTCATAAAGAGCTGAAGGAAAAAACTCTGCAAACATCAAGTGCCTAAACATGAAAACAAGAAAAAAAACTTTATAACGGAGTTACCTGTTAGCCACCTTCTCCCTTGAGTTATGAGCAGCCATTGCTTCTGTTTGATTTGCAACTAAATTACAACTGGTCCATGATGGTACTAAATACAAACAACCAATATTTAAATACACATCTAAATAGTGACTAAAATAGGTACCAGATAAGGTGGGGAGAACTTTAAAAAAAAAAAAGAAAAAAAACCCCAAGCCTTCCAAACCATCCTTCCCTCACAACAACCCAAAGGTAGTTGATGACCTTCTAAGGTTCCCTGGACTGCTGAAATAAACTCTGTAGCAGCACCTGGCCTTAAAAATAAAGTAATATGTAATAATTCTTACATTAGCAGCAACCTACCATATATTATACCACATTTCCTTCCCTTTCTGTACCTCTAACCTATATTGATACACCAAATGAAGGGCACTGGAGTTTGTAGGTTCTATTTTTTTTTTTTTACTGTGACAAACGTCAAATACTTTTGCTACCACTCCAGGTCTAGAGGCTCGGACACACACCAAAATTGTATTATTTAGAAGCATTATTATGAAAATCTACTACCCTGCTTATGACTACCTTCATTACTTTTCTCAATTATTCTTTCATTACTCAATCACTTAAGCACTGCCAGGACATTATATACTTGTAGTCATAATAAAGTATCACTTTACCTTTGTCTTCCCCTTGTTCACCAATAATCCAAGCATCTTTTGCCAGCACCTGTGCTTTCAAAAGGTTTGTCAGTATATACTGAAATCTCTCAGTATCGAGGTTGGCACCTACTCCAATAACTCTGCTTTTGGGAAACGCACTCAGCTTCCACGACACATACGTCATTACTTCAACTACACACGAAAGAAAAATATGTTGACAATGAACGACCACTCAAAACACAACTGCAAGCTACGAATCACAATTATAAAAAAACTCAGGACCAAGTTGTTCACTTTAGAAAAGGTCTAAGCATGTAAGAACATATCAGTAATTTATTTCAACCTAAAACATCAAGTCAGGTGGGGAGGAGGTGAAGAAAATTCACAGCCCAAGTAAAGTTTTAAGAGAAGTCAAGTGAAACTTCAGAATGAGTCACCAGGCTTCCCTCTACCAGAAATCTCACATGCTTCTGAATTTAATTCAGCCAGTGTTTAATGTCTTTTCATTTGGCAAGCACTCTTTTCTCCATCTCCACTGCTCTAAATGACTGGAAGGGTAAGAAGCACTTGAGAAATAGAAAAGGGCCGTCTTCAGTGCATTTACAGGACAGAGGGGCTCCCATGCACTTCTCTCCCTTTTAAGTAGTGTTTTTGCTTTGTCTTAGTTCACAGTATCACTGACCCAACAGATCTAAACTTTCCATCACAACACAGCTGCAATATTTACTATCACTATATTACGTATATTAGTAGTCTATGAGTCTGATGATATGGCATATAACATGCATGCATCTCTCCATACTGCACAGGAGAAACGTATACATAAAACAACTGACAAGACAACAGCCAATGGATACTAATCATGTAGATACAGTCAGGTGGAAACTACGGACAGAAACATACAGAAATACATACCTTTTACACAAAACAAAGTATACTATTTTCTTTTATCTTGGTAACAGTAAAGAAAAAACCCTCAAAGACAGTGTCCTGCTCAAAGCTGAAAAGGAAAACATCTTTCAGAGTAGCAAAAATTTTTAACTAAGTGGGTGTATTTGGCAGCAATGTATTTTTAAAACAGGCCAAAGGGAAAGCCAGCTGAGGGACAGAACATTAGGCCAAGTACCAACATACCTGGATGAGAAGCAACCAGGAGAACAGTATTCTGACTGTAGTGTGATATTGCTGGGATAATTCCTCTGAACAAATCCACATTGCTTTGTACGACATCAAGGTAAGTCTGAGCATTACCCAGGGAATTCACTGTAAGTATCACAACTTTAGAATCAGCTGAAGCAGAAAAATCTGAAAATATAACGAAAATATGTTTTTAAAATTTATGTCATTCTATCAAGTTTTGGATTCAGCCGTCCTAAAGGATGAACTGCAGCATCCAGCTTAGTTAGGGTTTCTTCCCTTCCTGTCTCCCCCCATATCCCTCACCGTGGAATTTGGGGCACCTCCACAGCACCTGTAAAACACAGCTCTCCCACACAACTCCTTTCCAGACTGCAATTTGTCCAAGGTTACAGAGCAGAGACCAGAAAACATCTAGATGGGCTCGACAAATAAGCTCTTCCAAGTTTTCTTGGCAAGAGAGAAAAAAAAAATACATCCATGAAAAGGCTGCTTCATTTTTATCCTGGTTTCTAAAGAAGGAGAAAGACTTCTACTCCTTTTTCTGATGCTTCTACAGTTTTTGATCTTGTAGATCAACGAAGGACATGTACACAACCATAAAAAGTGTTCCAAAAGTCTATTTATTAACTCAAGTAAAACACATGTATTTATTAGCCTAAGAAAACACATAACTACATCTGCTGAAGAAATTCGTTAAGTCAAAGCTGCCTTGAGCAGGTAACTCTGACCATACAGGTGATCAGCCTGGACACAGAAACAAGGTAATTTGACTGTCACACCACTCCTGGAACTACCTGAAGCCAAAGCAGAGGCCTAGTGCACTGACAAACTGGAATTAATACCAGCTTGCCCCAAACCTAGATACAAGCATACTAAAATAACAGGTGACAGCGTATAAGCATTTTGTAATATTGTAACACTACCAACAGCATAGCCAGCAACAACATACAAGCTTTTTGTACCACAGCTAAATGTAAACTAGTAATAGGCAACCACAAAGGCACAGAGATTTGTATTACAGTTGCACAACCAGGGTTCATGAAAAAAAAAGTGCTAGCAGTAAAAACTGCAAGATAAGATCAAAGGATGGAGAGCAGGCAATGTCAGGTGCAGAATACGCAGATAAGATGCTTGGTGGAACCAGAACAAGTCCCTGTCATCCCCGAAATAAAATAAATTACATCAGGAACACAATAAATCCCCTCATTTCATCTTGCAGAGGGCGCAAGAAACATAAAACTGCCACACACAAGCAAGGAAAAATGGGCAAGTTGCTCAATTCAGTTCCAGCTTCCCCTGTGGAAGAGCTTCTGAGCCACATCACCTCAACCTCTGCAAGTCAGACTATTACAGACTGTAGCCGTCACCACTAATTATGGAGATATGGCATAGTCTCTGTTGAATCATACACTCACAGCTAACTGAGGACAAGACTGTTAATAACTAATTGTTTGAATGTGCAGTGATAATGATTAGGAACTAACTATTGGCCATATGCATGTTTAATGACCATCAACCTAGGAAAGCAGTACTTTGAAACTTTCCTTTATCAGCCTTTCTAACACCGCTCTCACAGCTATCTCTAATTCCCTAACACATATACATTTTTTCCCCGCTTCCTTCCCTCTCTCCACCTATGACACTGAAGTACTAGCTTGCCTTCTCTCTATTTCTGCACGAGTCCAATTTCAGCATCAGCCTCTTACCCTAGAAGTACAGACTCACATATGTCTACCTCTACAAACAGAATGAAAAAAGCCCGAAATAAAAGTGATGCAAGCTTTGCTGAGCCTTCGCTTTCCAATTTTACCCTGAAAAGATGAAGAAAAGCAAGAAGCTATGAAAAGACAACAACATCTTTTTAAAAAGATGGCCTATATGCCTAAGCCTCTGTATCTCCCCAGGCATCCTGCTCTCATTAAAACGAGCACAAGCACACACAGTACAGCGCTCACTCCCATTCCAGCAACAACATCTAATACCTTTGCTGATCTCCACATCTGGCAGAGCAAAGATCTCCAAGTCCATGGTCCCTCCTTTTGCTGCACCTTCAGAAACATCCAGAAGAACCACCTTGTCTGCAGCACCCTGTATAAATAAAATTAACACAGATCAACAACAAACCAAACTAAAACTTGTTCTTGTGGGGGTGAGGAATAAAAACCAGTATTCCGCCAATTCTGGTGTTTGTTGTACTGTGTATAATACAAACAAAATTACTGACCAAAATTAATATCAAATCACAAGAAAAAAAATGTAGTTTAGTGAGTGTAACCGGAAAATGACTCATTACAGAACAAACAAACAAACAACTCAGAAAACCATCTCGGGGAAGTTGTAAGTGCTGATGTTACTGCTGTCTCTGAGCATACAGCCTTACTGAAGTACAGACCATCTAGAGACTATCCTTTCCCAGGGGACTAGGAGATGCCAATTGTAAGAGGTCACCACTCAGGCGAGAATCCTTTAACTAAGGATTTTCAAAATAAGTGAATTCAATATTCAAGCCTTAAAGCTGACTGAGAAAACAAGACAGAAACTAATGCTGCTGTGTGCCTGTAAGTTAATTGAAGAGGCAAATGATGTAAGCAGTGACATGGCTATTAAACTGCTGCGTTATTTTTGTGTGTCAGACACTAAAAGCTAGGTTGGAAGCCTCTCTATTAATCAGGTCTGTTGCGATTTACAATAATTACATACCTTTGCTGCAACTGCTAGCACACATGCAAGGCCAAGATCTCCAGCTCCAACAACAGTAATTTTCTTAAAACATCCTTCATTTTTGCCTCCACCAATTTCACTCTTTGATTTCATGTCAGTCTCTCCTACAATTAAATCCACAAACCTCAGTGCTCATCCACACTGTATCAATACAAGTATTGCTGCTTCATAAAGGGTGACAGTTGTGTCAGAGTTAAACCAAATTACACAAACTTTTTCAAAACAGCGGTCAAGCCTAACCATAGAAAACTCACCACAACTTGCAAGGTGTAAACCACAAATATTCCTCTCTGCATAGGAACATTTCTTCACTAAGTAGAAAATATGAGCATAACAATAACAAGAAGTTGGACACTAAGACCATACAAACAATACTCCCTTTGCTACTGTTACAGGTGTGAATATATACCATGGTCACAAAATTTTGTAAAATATTTTATATTTTGAAAAGACATGCAAAATGGAATTTGACCAAAATACAACAATCTGAGGTTGTTTAGCCAATGCTACTGGTAACACAATGATTCTCATTAACAGAGAGAGCTTTGTAACAGAAACATTAAGATTGATTGACTAGAAATGTGTATTGTGAGCACACACGTGTGCATATATGTGTACATAATTACCAGAACAAACCGCAGAAAAGGATTAAAGGGAAAGGTTTGCACTAGTTGCCACAGACCACCATCTGTGATTTCACTAAAAGCAGGAAGAAGAAAAGACAGACCTGAAGAAAATGTGTCAGGATGAAAAACAACAGGACTGGAGCCATAGAATACCCACATAAGCAAAATAGGAGAACTATGACATTCAGGAATTTTGCCCAAGACTTACAATAGGTGAGATAAAGTAATGAGGCAAAAATGCCAAATAGCATCCACTCCTGAAGGGTGTAAAAGACAAGTCAGAAATCAGTTTGTCACCATTGAACAGGAAGAACCCAAGAGACATGACACAGGCTCAACAGCCAGCACTCCTTGTCCTCAGTGTTGCACACCAGTGACTGTGGTCAAAGGGGTCACACTGCTTGCGACTGCAGATGTGAGAGCATGAGTGAATGAGATCTCAGAGAATGAATGACTGTGACTGGGTAAAATAAACTTGTTGATAATAAACTCACATTACCCTTCCACAAAATCTCATAGAGCTTTGCTGTAATAATTTCCAACAAATGAGTAGTATCAAGTCTACAGCATTTTTCAGTAGGCTTAAATGCAAACGTCTAAAATTAGCTGCTTATTCAAAGACAGACAATATGAGCTCTCGGTTCAAAACGAGGAACTGTTAATTATACAGAGAAAATACGGAACACTGTGGACACGCAAACACCAAAAATTCAGGTATTAAAATTGTGTAGGCATCTTTGTGATATCAAGTAACAACAATAAATAAAAGAGATACTGTGTAGGAACATCACAAACAAATACATGACAATATAGAATCATAGATTCATTAAGGTTGGCAAAGACCTCTAAGATCTTCAAGTCCAACCATCAACCCAACACCACCATGCCTGCTAAACCGTGTCCTGAAGTGTCACATCTACACGTTTTTTGAACGCCTCCAGGGATGGTGACTCCACCGCTTCCCTGGGCAGCCTGTTCCAATGCTTGACCACTCTTTCAGTAAAGAAATTTTTCCTAATATCCAATCTAAACCTCCCCTGACGCAACTTGAGGCCATATCCCCACCTTCAGTGATCTTTGCAATGTAGGAGAGAAGTTCCGATTGCCTGGCTGCATCAGAAGATGACAGTGAATACAAAGGGAGCTCTTCCTCAAATTTTGCAATCATTTCCTTGATTAATCCAATGACAGTTGACTTAGGCTGAAATACAGCAACACAGAAGACAAAACAGTTGACTAGCCATTTCATATAGTGGTATCAGCTGTAAACTGCAGTATTTCATCAAGAACCACAGCTATATGAAATTTAATCAAATTATAAACACCCTTAAGACTTACTTAAACACTTAAGGTGAAGAAAAGCCTGTGAATTTTTGTATCAATAATGAAAAATATACCCCATCCATTTCAGAAAACTAGCATTCATTAAATCATTTTTACTGGCCTGGCAGACATATTTAAGCAAGCTATTTAATACAATGTGTAAAATCATTCACTAATACATTGGATTTTGAATCGCTATGCTAATGTTTCAGAGTTCTGCTGAAAGAGACATACCCAAAAGGCAGGAAATTCCATCGAACTTTCTTGAGGGATACTCAGTTGGTCTAGTATTACTATTCCTTATGCACAGCAACAAAGCAAAAAGCATCAAAGGGTCCACATGAGGCTTACACTACTTTATAATGAAGTCAGTCCCTTTTTTCTTCAGTTTAAAATAATTTTCCTTACACTCACTTATAACCTTCTTTACAAATACTTCTGACAGTCTGAAAGCTGTAATTTCAAGAGACAACGTTCTGCTTCTCTCTGCATAATCATTACATATTTAAGATCGACAAAAAAATGCAGAAAACAAAAAGCCCTGAACACTACCCACTCCTCTCCATTGATCTCCACAGGATACCATGCTTTATTCCCAAATACTTTCCTCCCCTGTCAGCCACTCCAGCTCTTACATGGCTCCAGTTTTGCAGGTAGGGCAAATAAATCCTGCCATGAGCATCAACATGCTTTCCCACCGAAATGCCCATGTTCACAGTCGGCTTCAAGAAGCAAATGGGGGGAGCAAAGGGATGAGAATCCAGAATCCACAGCTGAATAGGTATGTTATACGAATTACCTGTTTAACACAAAACGAAAGCCATTGCTAACTTCTGCATTGAGACGAGGCACTAAAAACCAGGCATGTGATTCACACTTCATAATTACAAACAAAATAAGCCTGACAGACCACCTTCCAGACTCATACTGCAAAGTATTTATGTTACTTAGGCTAGTTAATATAAACAGACTTGTCTGGATCAACTTGAAGTGCTACTGATTGCGTTTTTCTTAATACAAAGCTTCGTTGTTGTTTTGTTCACCAGGGTATTCTATCAGCCAACGTGTCCCCTTTTTCAGGCAAAGAAATCTCTTACAGTGACCCATTTTATACTTGTTTTAGGTCTCAACAACTGATGCAAAGAGGCATCTGTTAAGAGCTTTACCTCAGACTTCAAAAGCTTTAAATTAAAAACAAAAAATTACCTAGTAGTTATTTCTGGACACTGCCTATACAAGCATAGGGCTTGTAAAGTTCATGCAAACTCCATGAGAACCAAAGCGTTTTCCTATACAGTCTCAAACTACACGATTTTTTTCAATAGTTAATTGACTTATCTAATACCACCTTATTTCAGCATCTAGGAGTGCATGAAGGGACCTGTTTATGCAGTAGAAGTGGCTTCTGCAAATTCATGCAAAACGCTTTATAGCCACCTTTAAAGAAGCTGCACAGTACATTGTTAAGAGGCAGTAACCAGCACATTTTACAATTAGATTCATAACTGGTAGGGAAATTATATTTGACTTATCTTACCATACTTCACTGGAACAGTACCACTAAAATTCAGGAGGTCCTTCTGGGATCCATCCTTGAAGGCTGAAATTAAAAATGGGATTTTAAAATGTAATAATAATAAATCCTTTTGATTCTGGCATGGCAATCCCATCCACAACTATCAGTATACATCACTAATTTTTCTTTAAAACTCAGATGCACTTCTCCTGAAAGAATCAAGGCTAAAATGTTACTAACATATTTCCCCCCTCTCCCCCCATGATAACTGCTTAATGGAATCTTAACGAAAATTACATCGGTACAACTAAGCACATCATTAGTCTGAAAATTCCTTGTCCTGGGTATTTCTGGTGTTGCAAGAACTTTCAGTCAGACTGAAGGATTCTGGAAGTTACACTTGATAACCTAAAAACATCAAAATGCTTTCAATGCAGTGATGAGATATGGGAAAAATGCTGTCATGTGTAAAGAATTTAAAAGAATATCATTCTTCTTTAATTACTCACAAGTTACAATAAAAGGAAACAGTGAATGAGTCGCTTTGGCTTTTCCATGCATGCATTCTCAGAAGAGCTTTTAGAAGTAGTCACATGGCATAAGAAATTTTACTGCCAGTCAAAATAAAGATAGGAATACAACTGAAAGATATTCACACTATTTAGATTCTATTCTACACAGTCTGAATTTATGGCAAGTAAGAATCCCCACAATTAGTTCAAAGTAACCGTATCACTTCTTACTATATGTGCTCATGGAGAATCTGAAGTTTGGGTAGGTCTTGTTAACATTCTTCAGCTCTTCTATGGTCAGGTCTCTGAACTTATACTGGGAAGGGGAGGAGAAAAAAAAAAAATCAGAAAAAAAAAAGTTTCACTTCAAGGCTGCTTCTTTTATTACCAGAGACAGGGAAAATGAACCACGAGAAGGTAGAAACACAAGAAGGGGAAGGTAACCACTACTTATAGTATTAGAAATAGTTTTGGTGTGAAATAAATCCTCAAAAACATTGATACCAAAACCCCTCAAACCTTTAAAGGTATCACAGGCCTGCTGTTGCTACATTAGAACTCAAATTCTGAACATCACTCCTTATATGCCACTCCTTCCCCTTTACAGCTGTGCGAGCAGAGGCTTAACAAAATGTAGTCTCCTCTCCTCACGATAATTAAAGACAATATAAAAATATAAACCTCTCAGAAAAGAGAAGTCATCTTATTACTGACACAGTTACTACTAAACACTTAGATCCACCTGTACGTGTTAGAAGAGTTTAATAAGATGTCGATTTCCACAAACATTAAAATTGCAAGTAATTAGCCGATGGGAGATTTTTTTTCCAAGTTTAAGCTGTCCTTGAGAGCTGAGAAAATCTTAACAAAATGATGCATCCCTCTTTCCCGCCTGCAGAAAACCTGCCCACAGATTAACAGAAGTACCCATGCTTGAAATGTGATCTGAAAGTAATTATCAGCAAGAACGAATCACTGCTGCTTCATTTAGACTGTCCCCAGCTAGTCTGACACCTGAACTTCCAAAAGATTGGCATCCTCCCACATCTGACAGTTAGGAAGAATATTTTCCATTTTCAGGATTAGAGCATCTGCTTCTCCTTTTAGGAAGTCTGGAGCTGTCCTGGAACCCTCACCTAAGCAAACACGACTGCAGCCTGGCAGAGGCCAAAAGAGCTGCTCGCTGCACTGGAGCACTTGTCACGAAGCCGCAGCTAAAAACCGCCACCTCTCTGGTCAGGCAGCCCCCCAGAACCACCCGCACTGCTACTGCTGCATGGACGGCACGATTATTTTCCACTTCGCACAGCAAAACACAAAGCTGCTGAAAAGAAACACCTTTTAGTCAGCTCCTCCCCATTCAGTCTTACAGGGTACTGCAAGCCAAGCAGAAAAAAGAAAAAAAAAAGAAATCAAACGTGACCAAATTAGGAATACGCACATAACTTAAGTTTAACACATTTTCAGAAGTGCTGATACATCTGGTTGTGAACTCAAAGCCATTTTGCCCGGCTGACCCCCTTCTTGTTTGTGACACAAAATGAGGCATTTTATTAAATATTTTGTTCTTTTCCAAAGATCAGAAGATTTATGAGGCGAGTGGGACCTTTCTCATTTTGCACCTAAAGTTATTCGGCACGCCCAAACTTTACACAGGCACGCCTCAGCCTCTCACACGGAAACGCAAACGCCTTTACCTCAGAGGGACGCTGTGAAAACACACCTGCGACTCCGCAGCGCGGCGACACCAACGCAGGGACTGCCACGGAAAACCCCCGCGGGAATCGGTACCTCTCCAGGCAGCGGAAGGTGCCGGCGGCACGCAGCCCGCCACGCGTGTCACTGCGTCCTGCACCGCTGCGACAACGCAACGCGTGGCGCAACTTCCAACTCGGCCGCGGCACGGCCGTGTAAATCCCGCACGCCGGGCGGGACGGGGTGACATTTTTTTTTAAAAAAATAAGATAACTGATGATACAATTTCAGCACTTTTTTGAAGTATAGAATTGAATTCCCAACGGCCCCTGCGCGGGGCGGGTGGCGAGGGAGAGCTGTGAGGGATTCCCCTGCTGTTCTGCCCTCTCGTCCTCACTGAGCTGACAGGAATTCCGAGCGCAGTCTGGCTGTGCGCGATAGCAGAGCGGTAATCTCGGGTGTAAGACCAGACGTTGATACCAGAGGGATTCAGGGATTCCCTCCCTCCCTCTCTCTCACAGCATCACAACTGATTAGCGACTTTATGGAGTTACAAATATGGAGATGAAAATCTGGAATGAGCATCTTTCCCAATCCCTACATTAATCTATCTCTTTATTTTTTTAAGCTTCCGTACCACACGGGCAGGAGACCAGAGATGTGCCTTTTGGAAAGGGGGCCGTGCAAGTCTGGCGGCCATTTCAGTGGAAAACGCAGCGGGTTCAGCTGGGTGGATGGAGACAAATGGCAGTCCTGTGCCTGTAACCGACCAGAAGACTGCCAGATCAGAACAAAACAGGCCAAACATGATAGCAGCACCTTTCTACAAGGAGTAAGATCTCCTCAAAGCTCATAAAATTCTTGTCCTCCCTCTCTGATGCCAGGCCTGAGGCAGACGAACCAAGAGCACAGGTGGTTGTTGTTGGCATAGCCACAGCAGAAAACAATTAGGTTTAGAATAACCTGTATGAAGTTTTTCCATCATACGTATTGTTTACCGATGCCATTCTGTTTCTGTGCTGAAGTTGTTGTCTGTGATGTAATGAATGGCCTTACGATTACACTGTTCAGCTGGAGAGTGCCACAGCCTCAAAGGAAAGGCACAAAACTGCGCTGGTCAAGATCAGTCCACCAGGAATTGGCACAGCAGATTCCAGCATGTGCTACGCATCATTTGGCCATCAAGCAGAGTATCTCTTCAGTAATTAAGTTCTGCAAACAATTGTGTTGTCAGAAAAATGCAAGTTCATTCCCGGTGTGCAATGACCAGTCTCGCACACTGAGACGAGATACTGATTCATCAGAGTCATGCAAGTTTGGGTGCTGGGTAAAACTTGTACACCTGGTTCACAAAAGGTATCGGTCTTTATCCAACTCCTTATCAATAAATTTCAGCCCATGGGGCACAGTCCCATGCTGCCAATTGGTTACATTATTTGCATAATACTTAGTCGGCACTTTAACACTGCGCATATTCAGTGAGGAAAGGTCCTTAAGTGGGCTGGGGTCTCTCTTCTATGGGGCATGATTCTTAGCATTATAGTGTATTATAACAAAGGTGGGTTACTCTTGGACATCGTCCCTTTGCCAAAAACTAACTAAGCATTAATGAGCATGTTTCTCAGGATGTCCTCTTCTTTTCCAAGGACAGCTCCCTGATTTAGAGAATCCTTTTGTTAAAAAGTTTCAGAGCACATCCCTAACAATATTCCTAAGTAAACAACAAGATCCTTACATTCTGACTGTATGAAGGTCCTTGTGACAACAATTGTACAAGGGTCATTACCTTTTGGATGTTGTTTGTTTTAGGCATAATACTGAAGCACTGTAAGGCAAGTCCAAAATAAATCTGTCTCCCTGCAAAGGCATCAGCTGTTTTATACAAAAGAAGGCTATAATACCACTAGCAGAACTGCTAAGAGAACACTTTTAGATTTTAAGCTGTTTCTACACACTCCACTAGCAAGGCTGTCCTGGGTTCGGCCAGGACAGGGAGGAACAACCTCATGCACCAGTACAGGCTTGGGACAGACCTGCTGGAGTGCAGCTCTGCGGAGAGGGACCTGGGTGTCCTGGTGGACGACAGGTTAACCATGAGCCAGCAGTGT